AAAACTTTAGCAAAACATGTTGGAATCAACCTTGTTTTTTAGTAAAATATCTTCACAGAACAGTTTTATTGAAAAATTCCATAAAATAACCTCTTCAGCTCCAACTGATTCACTTTTAATGTCATCCATCTTCAACCCAATCACTCTATCTTTACCAGTTTGAGGAATTCCATCATGTTTTCCTTCTCCTAAACAGAATTGTCTAAAGACATAGGGATGGATTCCCAAATGTTCGGACGCGACACAAAGCCACGACCTGCAGCGTTCCCCTCCTCCAACACAGCCGCCCTGTCTCCACCTGCTGTCTTTGTCTAAAGGATCTCCAGCTTCATTTCAATGACAAAGTTTCAGAGCCCCGCAGCCTGCAGCCCTGCACCCACCTCTGAGGTCCCTGCAGTCATTTTATGGTCCCCGAGGGCCGAATGTGGCCCCATCACCCCCCGTCTCCGAGCTGCTGGGAGCCTCCGACAGCTTTTCCTGAGTATACTTCATCACATCCTCGCAGGATCTAAAAGTCTAAAGTTGTCCTCAGAGGACAGAAAGTGAAGACACATCAGGTTGTTGGTTCTTGTAGAAACACAATGAAATGTTTTTAAGCTGTTCTCTTTGACTTGTTTTTGGAAAAGTAGCTAAAAAAGTGAATGTGTGCTTTGGTATTTGTATAAATAAGTTTGTCCCTTAAATCTAAATGTGTTTTAATGAGCTGTGGATCTGTCTTACTTGAAAGAAATGTCATACAATCTTTGGCGATGAGCTGAAAACTGACTGAAAGTGATGCAGAGGGTCTGACCGGGTGGGTGTGAGGGTAGTCCAGCCACAGCTGCCCTGTTTTTGTCCTCCTCCCTCTGTATTAACTGTCCAGACATAACAAGTCTAACGTGTGCTGGCTTTTTGATGCACATTTAAGTGTCGCATTAAAAATGCGAAAAAAAAGTCGGATGGGAACAGCAAAAATCAAAAAAAAAAATCCTCAATTCGTTAAAAAGTTTTTACGCTCGCTTGAGGTGTTTTTTGGATGATTTGCAAAGTAGTTAATGTTCAAAAAGGGAGATGGAAACATGTTTGTCGAATAAATTTTGACGTAGCGCATATTTACCTCACATGACGTTCAGCTGTTTCCGCTTTCCTGCCTCGTCCCGGATGTTATCACAAACATGTGAAAACATGGCTGCGAACAACAACAACAGGTACGTGTGGACTGACAAAGAGACGAGAACATTTCTCTCTTTAATTCGTGAAAGAAACATTAAATTAGCCGTTAAGCCATTAAATCGCTCCATTGTCTCGAGATGATTAGCCTTAGCTAATTAGCAAGTTTCACTTCCTGTTTACTACCGCATAGCTTGTCGCCAACATCTGACGTAATCACGTGTTGCGTAGCCTCGTCTGACGTAATCACGTGTTGCGTAGCCTCGTCTGACGTAATCACGTGTTGCGTAGCCTCGTCTGATGTAATCACGTGTTGCGTAGCCTCGTCTGACATAATCACGCATTGCGTAGCCTCGTTTATTCGCATCAAACAGTCGAGAGGGAAACTAGATGGAAACAGTCTAGATTCGAATTTTTATTTATTTAATTTTTTGCGAATTTTGAAAAGTTCGATAAAAATTCACTCTACAACTGGATGGAAACACGGTTACTGTTGCAGTCAAACAACTGACTGAGCTGAGGGAAAGATCAGCCGATCATTTCAAACAGTTGCAACACTTTGATCTTTGGAGATAAGCAGGATAAGTTGTGGATGTGCTGATGAGAAGCTGTGAGCAGTGAAATGTTTGTCTGCAGTGGATGTCCATGTGTTTGCTCGGAGACAGATGGCGGAGCAGCGAGCGCGTTCCCACGGCTCACACAGGAATTTAAAATGCAGATAAAATCCATCACACAGACACGTCCTGGTCACGTGTGTCCTCAAACCAAACAGTGTGGAACCACTGCTCTGAACTCCAATATTTACTCATTTATTTATCACTGCTGGACTTAAAGGTGAAAGTTTGAACAGAGAAAAGATGTGAACTTTAGAACATTGTGGAGCTGGATCATCGAATTAAACCCAAGGATTAATCAGCCCTAATCTGCCTCCATTAAAACATGAGACAAATTAAATCAATCCAACTGAACCAATATGTTGTTTTTCTCTCTGTTTTCAAAGCAGATAGGTGTTAGATTTGATCCACCCAGAGCTGGGGCTGGTTTCACCCAGCTTGGTTTGAAAGTAGGGGTCCGATGAGGTCCGAGGACATGATAATTGTAGTTTGGTCTGATTCTCAGGACAGATGGTTGAGTGCCGTGGTTTCTGTCTGCAGGATGATGGGATGTGGAGGCTTCCAGAACACAGCTCCGCTCTGCTGCTGAAGAACGAAGCGGGCGGGGGTCAGCTGAGGAAATGGGGGTGGGGGGCTTCAGCTGCAGTTCAGCCTGAATGATTTTAACTAAGGTCTTCAGTAAGCGTGTTTCCATCAAGGCTTTTTGATGCACATTTAAAAGTGTTGCATTAAAAATGCAAAAAAAAAAAAAAAGTCAGATGGAAACAGCAAAATTTGAAAAAAAAAATACTCAATTCGCTAAAAGTTTTTACACTCACTTGAGGTGGTTTTTGGATGATTCTCAAAGTAGTTAATGCGCAAAAAGGGAGATGGAAACACGTATACAGAATAAATTTTGACGTAGCGCATATTTACCTCACGTGACGTTCAGCTGTTTCCGCTTTCCTGCCTCATCCCGGATGTTAACCCGGCGTTGTTGCACATGCCTTTCTGCTGCGTAGTTTAACATTGCGTTTATTTCCCTACGTCTCCTGGCAGCGTTAAACATAGCCTGTACTAGCTGAATAGATAGAATAATTACAACTTGCTCAATAGCAAGGCATTCACAAAAAAATCGCTCCATTGTTCTGAGATGATTAGCCTCCGCTAGTTAGCAAGTTTCACTTCCTTTTTACTACCGCAAAGCTTGTCGCCAACATCTGACGTAATCACGCGTTGCGTAGCCTCGTCTGATGTAATCACATGTTGCGTAGCCTCGTCTGACGTAATCACTTGTTGCGTAGCCTCGTCTGACGTAATCACGTGTTGCGTAGCCTCGTCTGATGTAATCACACGTTGCGTAGCCTCGTCTGACGTAATCACGTGTTGCGTAGCCTCGTCTGACGTAATCACACGTTGCGTAGCCCCGTCTGACGTAATCACACGTTGCGTAGCCTCGTCTGATTTAATCACGTGTTGCGTAGCCTCATCTGACGTAATCACACGATGCGTAGCCTCATTTCTTCAGATCAAACAGTCGAGATGGAAACTAGATGAAAATAGTCTAGATTCGAATTTTTATTTATTTAATTTTTTGCAAATTTTGAAAAGTTCAATAAAAATTCACTCTACAACTGGATGGAAACACGATTAGTGACAGATAACAACTGACGTTTATTTTTGCCCAAAATAGTTAATGATAATTTGCCCATGTCTGTGTCTGTTAGTAAAACATATCATGAACTAATACATATTTTATTGAAACTTTCAGAAAATAGCTGTTGAATTTACATAAAAAGAATGTAAATACAAACAGAGAGAACATCAGATGTTTAAAACAAAGAAATTTTACCAATGTTAGAAAAAAAGTGAAGTAATTTGATGGCAGCAACACATCTTAAATATTTCTCCTCTTCAGTCTGTGAACGTCCAGGACCTGACCACACCAGTTCTGGTTCTGTATGTTTCTTCACTGATGTACCTCCATACCGTCAGAGAAGTTAATAAAGAGAACATGACACCTGTGGATTTAAAGAGAGATTAAAATTTGGATCCTTCTGATCACAGAACAGTTCTTCACTTTGCTTTGATCCGTTTTAAATGATCGTTGGTTCAGAGAAGAAGACAGAGATTCTGGATGGTGGCATTTTCTCAGAGTTGTAAGTAACTAAGTATAAATACTTTGTTACTGTACTTTTACTCAAGTAATGTTTTTAGAGAAGACTAACTTTTACCAAAGTATTTTTATGATAGGATACTTGTACTTTTACTCAAGTATCACTTTGACGTACTTTATACAACACTGCATTTTCTTTGCATGATGGAGCTTTAAGCAGTGTTTGTGGATGGCATGATGGAAACTGTGGGAGCACATGACGTCCAGAACAGAACCAGACCTGCTTTTAATGCTGTAAAACAGCAACAAACTAAAGAAATGTCAGGAGAAGTTAATACTCTTGTGTAGTTTTTGATAGTGTTGTTTTACAAACCTATAGATACCTATGAGAAATCACTGATTTCATGAGTTTTAATTTGATCATGTTCTGGTCCAGCAGGGAGATGTGTTTTTTTTTCCTCCTGTGTTTCTGAGCTGGAAGTGACTAAAGATGGAGCTGACAGACGCTGCGAACACAAACCTAACAATGGAAGTCTGCCGGGGTCAGTGGGGTGTGGGGGTGTGTGAGCGGGGTGTCAAAGTGCCAGAACCCGAATAAGTTTTCTGGCCTCATTGTTGCGACACACTTTTAATTCAGAGGTGATTCTGCTCCGTGTGGGGGGAGAAAGTGGGGCTCCATGAATAATCCCTCCTGCCCTGCTCCAAGGAGGCCACTCTGCTGATTTAGGAGGGGAGGGGCTCTGTGCGCGTGCGTGTGTGTGTGTGTGCGTGTGTGTGTGTGCGTGTGTGTGTGTGTGTGTGTGCGTTGGGTGCGGGGCAGGCGGGGAGAGCAGCCAGGTCGCACACACGCTCCATCTTTTCTTCCCTTCCTCTCTCTCTCTTCCCTGGAGTCACGTGCAGACTGGGGGAAAGCTGTGCCTTCCTTTCTTTGCTCAGACACACACATTCATACACACACACACACACACACACACACACATTCAGCCAACACACACACACACACACACACACACACACACACACTGAGG